TGGACCAGAGTTGTATTTGAAAGAATTACATTTTTGAATAAGATTTTTTGAAAAAGTGAAAGTTTTTTTTCTTTTTCTTTATGTATGTATTTATCTGTGTAACTGACTGAGCCTGTTTGCTGATTCTTCTTTGTGCTACTGTTACATTAAGTTTTATCATTATAGAACAATTGTCATGTTTTCACTGCATCTGCTGGTTATTACGAGTTACAGTCTAGCTTAAAAGATTTTACATTTATCATTATAGCCAGTTAAGATTTTGAAACATTAGCTTGAAACACACTGCAGAGAAACAGCAAACAGTAGATGAAGATGCAACAGCAATACATGAGCTAGGATTCAGTCACGTATGGTAGGCACTGCTGAATGAGTCATACCAGCAGGCCTTGCGTTCATGCATACCAAGCACATTAATGGCATAAATTTAAATACTTTTTTAAAGAGCAACGGTTAGAGCCCTTATTATACACCAGTCTCTCTCAGAGAATATTCAGATTCATGCAGACAGTGTAAGAGTAGGTCAGTATGTGACTGAAGTTTATGAGTTTGCACACCACAAGCAACTAGTGGCATCATTATTGTACATGGTATTTCTCTATCTTGTGTGTAGAAATTGCCATTGTTAATGATATTTACAATAAATTTAAATCTGGTAGTGACAGTAAGGAAGGAAAGACGATATATTGAATATCTCTGCAGAAAATGATTTTTATTCCTACTAAGTTGATGCAAATGTCTATGTTGTCTTTGTATTTTCTTGAGATATTAAGTACTCATTTTTTACATTAACTAGAGGCCCAATGAAACTAAAATGTCAGACATCCACTTCTCAGATTTGTTTAATTTAGGGCTGCAACTAACAGACATTTTGATTATCAACTGATTAATTCATCATTTAGTTGATGAAGCATAAAGTAGTGGAAATGGGAAATGCCCATGCAACTTCCCAAAGCACAAAGTAATGCCCTTAAAGCCCCATTGTGTAACTTTTCTAACTTAACCTTAACAGCTTTAAAATCATTTGATGCTGCACTGACTTGTAATGGGGGTGAATGGTGCATCTGTCATTCCCACTCTACATCCTGTGCATCTGTTCTTGCACTAATTGCTGTGTTTGGAAAAAATCGACTTGCTAGTTTTTGATCATCAGTAATGTAATCATAACACATGCACATGTACAATGATATTTATAACAAAAGCATTTCTCTCTGAAACTCTGGGCGCCAAAGTGTTGCTTTAAGTGTCCAAAACCCCAAAATAGTTCAAAAAAGTCCACAAACAGGCAGCAAATCCACAGAAGCTGGAACATATTTGGAATTTTTGCTTGAAAAATTACTCAAATGATTAATTGACTAGTCACTGCAGCTCTAGTTTCATTTTCGACATATTTTCATTTGATTGTTCACTTTCAAAATGCACTGCAACACAAAGACTTCATATCACAATAAAGCAAATCACAAATATTTTCATACAAATGACTGTTGAATGAAATGAGAAATGCTGTCTTACCTTATGCCTGCACTTAAGCACCACTCCATATGCTCCTGGACCGAGGAATAGAGAGGAAGAAACAAAAGATCAATAAGTTCCAACATCTCAATTACGTTTTGGTCTTCTAAACCTTGAACAAACATGTTCATATAAAACAAGTGCAGTAGGTGAGAACCATCAAATCAATCACAGTTAATAGGTGAGGCAGAGGCATAGGTACTCTCCCACACATTTAATACACACCACACACACACACAGTATCTCTGTGGGTTTCTGTCTTTGCAAAGCATGTCCTGTTCTCGGCTGATCATCCATATTTCAGATTTTAAGATTTTTTGATGTCCCAGCTTGCTCAGGGGGATGTATTGTAGCCATCAGTGTTACCTGCCCTGGTGTTTGTGCTGTGATTAAATGTTTTTTAAGGTTATTTAAAGTTTATTTTACAACTTTGGTCTTATGAAGAGCTGATTACACCCTTTTCCTATCTAATTTATGTCATACTAGCATCTGTAATAAAAATGGCTTTCCTCTAGATAATACTTTTATTGTTCTTTGTGAAAAGCTGAGACAAGATAAAACAAAAGTTATTTTTGTTAACATTCCCTACAGCAAGCCATATGGCAGTTGTAGTGGTTGAATACTGACAGAATCATTGTTTTAATGTTTGTTAAATAAATAATGTTAAATATTTTCATGACTGTCCAGCAAATATACCCTTTCATCATCTATGGGTATGGACAGAAACCTGTGGGAACATAGTTCAGCTTTTCCGGAAGACTGATAAAACAAACCTGTGATTAAAAAAACTATGCTGTTAAAGTGTTGTGAGTTAGTTTAGACTTCCAGGGGCGTGTTTCCATAAGGTAATTTGTAAGCTCTGCTTACATGCAGATCACAAATGGTCGCAGTGACACTTTGGAGAAATAATCTACACTCACAAATAGCAGATCAATTTGTGAGTCTGTACAGAGCTCTATACATGCTCCTGTATGGTTCGTGAGTACATTTGTTTTGATTATTGAAATGTGGGAGGAAATGATCTTTTGTTGCAAACTTTGTAAAAACATGCTCCAGAATTCCAGAAGTAAAATGTTTACAGTGTTTTCTACATAAACAATGCTACTGTAGGTGAGTGGCGGTTGGAGCAATTCCAAGGCTTGGGTGGACGGAAACCTCCTTGAACTGCCGGTACAAAAGATGAGCCACTGTGTTTGAAAATATCTGTTTTTTATAAGTTAGAAATACAAGAATGTGCAACAGTGAGGAGAGAAGTCAACAGCTCTGAGTATAAGAAACACCCGATCAACAAGATTAAAATTCTCTTGTGTACTGACACAAGAGAATTTTAGGCTTTTTGATTGGCTAAGGTTATGCTTTGTGGAAACTTGAAAATGGAGTCAATGGTTTAAATCAGATCACTTTTTTGATTCAAGGTCAATTTTGAAAGAATATATCAGTTGATACAGTGTTTTATTCCTACGTGCAACAACAAAGTGTTTCTGAATTTGCTACAGCACTGATTCATGACTCTAAAGGGCCTCTTTCTTATTGGTGGCTGAGGCTCAAAGGTACTGAGGTATGTCATTTTGCCATGTCAAACAGAGAGAAAAAAGCATGATTTCTAAATAAAACTAATAGTTTTGTGTAAGTACAGTTAAATAATTATTTATTATTACATTGTTCTTATGTTGAGGAAAATAGTCAATAAAATGTGTTTTTATAATGATAAAAATGATTACCTTTAACTCATGCCATCAGAATGAATTGAAAGAAACTCTACACATGGTGACTTTACATGTACAGTATGCAAATTGGTGCTGCTAGTAAGTCTCTCACATCAAAAACAATAACAAAAGGTGTTTGAAATCAATCTGACGTGATTAAGGAGGTATTATTCACGGATGAGCCGAGATAATATTAAAGATTTATTCAAAGAACGTTTAGTCACGTTCGCCGACTTCCTTTGCTCACTCTCTGACGTATCCGATGTATCCCATATTTACCCGGTAGTTATAGAAACTAGAGGCAAGCAAGGACATGCTCCGTTACCTGAACAAAATCATGGATTTCTCTGGGGTTCAACATTTTTGCAAACATTTTGGGGTAAGTTAAGAACATAACTTAACAAAATATACAACATAGGCCTAGCTTTTTTAAGACATTTTAATGTGGAAAAGTTCTATTTTATACATTTAAAACAAGTAAAAAGCATGAAAAATGTTGTTGCTATGGCTTTAAAACTTCCATCATTTAATTGCACTTCTTTGTGTAGCTAACTTTTTGATTAATGTATGCTGACAAGCACTCATGTAGATTACAGTTAGTGAGAATTATCAACAGTACAATAAACACTCGGTTATTCTGTCTTCTCACATTAGAGTGAAGCCAGGGAGGCATGTCAGTCCATCTCACTGAAATCAGCAACCAATGACGCTGCTGACTAAAAGAAATAATTTCCGCATTTCTGCATGGTTTGATGTGTGAAGGACCTGTGTGTGGAATACTTGCGAGTCTTTCGCAGCAAGACTTCAAATTTGATCCTCATTTATTTCATTTTCTAACCAGCCATCAATGTTGTCACTGAAGCAAGAGTTGAACAACCTTTTTATTGTTCAGTAAAACACACTCAAACACAATCACAGAAGCACAAACGCACAAAAACAAACTGATGCACCCACTCTACTGGCTTATGTGCATGACCTCAGTATTTCAGATATTTTCTGCAAGGCTAAAAGTTTCACTGTGAGAGGAATGCAATTCAGGAAGTCTTAAGAAGTGTATAGAGTCCGAAAACTACAGATGTGTGTGATAAAAATGTAAAATGTTGTAAAATGAACAGCGGTCTGTCATGCTCATGTCACATACTTTCTTAACCCAAACACCCACTTTGACCTCCTCCCTACGCTACATCCACCTTTGTTCCTGACAGGCAAGAGTCATAATTCACATGGCTGTTGGAGGTCTTTGTCAAGCAAACATAAACATCGCTTTCTTTCTTTTTTATGATCTCTGTTAATAATATAGTCAATAGTATCGAAAGTACTGAAGCTCTTGATCTACAGTCAGATTTTCAATCCAAGGTTGCACGGATGAAACAACGGAGAAGAAAATCAACTGGTCCGCAGTATGTGTTTATTTTTCCATGGTATCGAGTATCATGTTTTTATACTAGTATTGTATCCTAAAATCCTGGTATCATGACACCCTTACACAGCACTGTTTCCATCAGTACTGCTGTCTGTCTGAGTTTCACTTTTTGACACAAATACTGTTTTAATTCACTAATTATTTTCAGTTGCTTCTGCTCTGCTATTTTTTCCATGCGTGGTTTGGTTAGAGCCCGTGAAATTCAACACTTCCTGCAGATTAAAAGTCTACTAAGGAGAAGGTTCATGCCCTTTGAGCTGCTGGAGCGCTTTTAATGTGAAACACCAATCCAATCCCAGGAAGTGTTGAATTTCATTAATGGTAACTTAACCATCTTTGAAAAAACAACAACTTTGAAATGGAAGCAACTGGAAATAGTTAGATAATGAAAACAGTGTTTCTGTCAGAGCGGAGAAACTCAGAGCAGCAGATTGGTGATGATGACATAACTGTTAGTGCACTGATGAAATTAGTGCTGTAAAAATGGACACTATCTTGACATCAGATAAACATTGAGGATGTTTTGAGTTGGGAGCAGATTATTTCACATTTCAGAGCAGATTTTTAAATTAAAAATCGAGCAAGATATGCTGACAAAACAGGGAAATGTAGGAATAAAGACCTGTCTAATATAAGCCCGTTTGAGATAAAGGCCTCTTCTTTCTGCAGTTGAGTTAAATAAAGGCCCTGGAAACTACTTCAGAGTACATGGTAAACAAATGACCAATGCTGTCGTTTTCTCTTTGAGGACAGTCTCTAAGGATTATATACTATGCTATGAGAAATGTCTCCCCTTTAACAAAAATGCTAAGCTCCTGAAAAGGGGACATGTTGGAGATTTACAATGTAAAATGCACCTTACACACAGGTGGATACGGTGGATATGACATCTGTGTCCTCAGTGGCTCTGATCACCAGAATAAGAGTTGGTAACAGTATGTACAGTTCTCACATGCTACAAACATGCTGTAAAATCTGCTGTGTGAAACCACGTACCTTCTCCAACAATGCCAAGGACTTCAAACTTATTCATCACATCACAGAGTGTGGGAGCTCTTCCAGCAGGTGAAATGAGCTGCTCTGGTTTTAGCGAGGAGACTCCTGCTTTGATCGGCGGCTAACGGAGTCTGTAGAGTCCAGCAGAAACATGGCGAGCGTCGGACCACACCCCATCTTCACTCCTCTTCTGCTTCAGCTTCTCTCTTCCTCACTCTACAGCTCTCTTCCAGCTGTACGTGTTTTTTTTACGAGTCAGTTTCTTTTATTTATGTAACTGACTCAAGTTGTTTCAGTCGTCTCCAAATTCCCTTTATTCCATGTCTTCAGGTTGTCCACCTTGTACTTCTATCCAGTCCTCCACACGGTTGTACCTGGAAGACCAGAGACAAAAAAGAGAAGCAAGGTGTTAAAATGTGCTGTTGAAGGGTCATTTCAAGGTCTAACTTCCCATCATTCCTTGCACAGACAGTAGCATCCTGGTAATATTGCTGGCACAGATGGTGGCTAACTAGGACATGTAGATGTACAGAAAGGCTTTTCCTCGAGGACACATTTAAATCATGGATGACTTAAGCATGACTTCCACACTCTCATCCTATCTCATCTATTCTCATCAGCCACACATTCAATCTGGAGGATGCTGCAAGGGTGACAGTCTAGAGTGAATGCATAATGGCTGGCAGCACTGTTGATCCCTGCCTGCATTGCACAAGTCTAACTTTGTAGTTTGCTGTCAGTCAGTTGGTCCAGGCTGAAATATCTAAACAACATGCATTACCCTAGAGGTTGAATCCTATACTGGTGATCCCCTGTCTTTTCTTCTAAGGGCAACATGATACGTTTTTGTTTTTTAGTGAAATGTCTCAACAACTGATGGACAGATTGCCATAACATTTGGCACAGATATCCACGGTGTCAAGAGTATGAATCCTAAGAATTTCGGTGGTCCCACGACTTTTCCTCTTGTGCCATCAGCCAGTTAAAGCTTTCACTTATCCACTGAAGTATCTTAACATCTACTAGATAAGTTGGCATCATTTTTGTACAAACATTAATATTTCTCACGTGATGTTTCCTACTGATTCTGGTCATCCTCTGACTTTTCCACTTGCACCACCAGCAAGTTCACTTTTCTGTTTTTTTGTGAAATATCTCAACAACTCTTGGATGAATAGCCATGCCCTTTGGTACCGACATTCATGTTAATGAAAACTACTGACACTCTCATCAGCCTCAGCTGTATGTGTTGTATCCACTGTATAATTACCTACAGCTCTCTGTTGCTGCCACATTAAAAATATTGAACCAATTTCCAAGGCCATGCACATTTAAACACACTCAATGATAAAGTGTTTTGTTTTAGGAAGAAAAAGGCTCAGTACAATAATATCCAAAGGCTTAGATCTTCTTCTGTCACACATCCAAAAACTGACCACGGTTATTAAATGCCTCTTTTGTAATGCGAATGCTGTTGGACTGGAACCATCAAAGCTTCTCACAGTATCAGTCCAACTTCATTTGTATAACACTTGATTTATTCAGCAGTGCAAAAACACTTTAATGTTGATTTGGCTCATGTGCCTGTGTGGGCGTTTTCCTATGCAGTGTACACTCCACACAGCTAAGTCTTTTCAGAGGAAACGAGAAGGTGGATGTTGAGGCCATCCATGGCTAGTCATTTAAGGATATGGTGTTGCCACTAGGGAGTGATTAGATCCATACTGTACCTTGTCTGAGTAGACAAATATATCCTGAAAGCCTGCAATTGGGGCAACCTATGATGCATTCTTTCCTGTAATTAAAGAAAACTGTGCCTAAAAAATGGGTACAGGCAGCACAGGGTCGGTTTATTGATAAGCCGCTGCTTCTCCTTCTCCTACTGATGGCAACATCACTGTGAAAGTCCTGAAAAATATTGATAGAACGGACTGTAACATCAATCTTGCATCAAACGCCTGTTGGTGTCTGCATGCAAAGGAAAGGCCATGGGAACGAGTGAGTTTGGGAGTGTGCATTTAATAGGCAGGTGCGTGCGTCCGCGTGCACGGGACTAAGTGTGTGTGTGCGTGTGTATATGAGGTGAGAGAGAGAGAGAGAGATAGGCAGAGAGAGGATAGTAATGCTGCTCTCTCTGCATCGAAACTGCGTCTCTCTCGTCGCTGCGTTGCGGAGCGCACCACCATTCCATCGCTGTCCACGCGTTTCTCAGCCTACACAGCAACCAGCACATACATTATAACAACGTGGTTCGCGGACCAGTGTTCATGACAGTGTTGCACAATAAGATCCACAAATAGCGTTTGCCCATAACAACATAATTAAGACAAAATCTCACGCACTCGCACAAAAAAATAACAGATAATCCAACGCAGCCCGTCCGTCGTTTAAAGCAATGAACCTCTTTACCTGCAGATGTGATGTGTCGCCTGTATGAGGTGAGAAAGCTCAATCTGTGAAGCACACAGCATCATGCCCGTGAAAATGATGATGTGGGAAGACGAAGAAACATCATGTGGAGCGACAGGAGGGGGGGAAGCCCGGGCCTGTGCGTCGTGACACGATCAAATATCCTACTCACTCAATCTCTGGATGGAGATGAGACCGAATCCGCGGGCATAACGCCGATGACTTGGTATCAGTGTACCGTCAACAGTTCTTCAGAGGCTCCGTGTTCATAGCCTCAGCATCAGCTGGTTATAGCAGCAAAATCGTCATCCCTCTGAGCGACGCAGCGCACAGCCAATAGAAACACGGACGTCTGCGCGTTCCAGCAGTGGTTTTTACATCCAATATGACTGTGATAAAATAAAACTTTGGGATGGAAATGGAATACAGCTCATTATTTTTTAAATATTACATGTGCCTGATATCAATCACCCTCCAATGATACAGAGATTTCACACGGCCGGTTACTGCTGTTGCTTCCCTCCTTTTGGTCAATCCATGTTGTGTCAGTGATTAGAAATCTTCCTGCAGCTTGTCTCCACTCTCCCCCACCTATACCTCCCCTTCATGACTGCACTAATTGGCGAAATCAGTGTGAATTCACTGGATTCACCGACACGCGGTCTGTTTCATAATGAGCAAGGTGTTATAAAATATTTTGTACGTTAAATGCTGCAGCTACAGGCTGTTGCGAGGAACCACCTCCTCCCAAAGGCCATGTGTTCTGTGTTTGACCTCCACACCATCCTTTTAACTCACTGTTCTCACTGACACAACTTCCGTTGCTGTCACTATCATTATAATAATTGATTTAATTTCATTGTTTTTAATGCTGAATTGTATTCCTGATGCATTAAGCTGTTTTTAATGCTGTAGGTGGTTGAAATGGAGCTAATATAAGCACTTGATATACTTTTGGATAGAGCTTTAACAAATGCATCATAATTTCAATCATTTATTATGTTTTAAAATATTATAAAATAGCCTATAGCAACTGTCAGATGCAGAGGAAATTTAGTCTGGAATGTAGCAGATAAAAAGTATAAAGTAACATAAAATATTCAGATCAAGGTAGAAGTACATACGTTTTTAATTAGGTAGGCCTGTAATACTAAAGTAAATGTACCAATGCTCTATTTTTTCTCAAGTGGCCTGTATGATGGGACAGTGTATCCTGACTCATCATTACTGTGGGGTAAGATATGGAGTGACATTTCACTTTTAATCCTACAGTCGTAGTGCTCAGCTGCACTCATTAAATGTGGAACATTTGGTCTGAGTTGTTGCCAAAGAAAAACTTTCTCACCTACATTTGATGCCACATTTGTTATTTGAGTGTTTAAAGTGTTTGAATATTAGGAGATATATTATCGAGATTTGAAATACATTTTTCACATTTTATCACTGCACTGAGGTTCTTAATGTTATGCCATATATGGATTTTTTGATGGATAGACTTATAGTGTTATATTTTAGGCAAAAATCTGCAGTTGGGTTAAATAAATAGGCTACATTTATTCAAGTATTGTACTTTTGACACATTTGAGGTACTCACACTTTGTACTTTTACTCCACTACATTTCAGAGGGAAATACTTCTTTACTCCTCTACGTTACACTAACAGTTCATTTACAGATCACAAACAAAACATATTGTCAGTTTAACATAAAATAAGGTAAACTTTACTGTAAGCTTTATTTTATTGGTTTATTTGATAGAGACAGTGCTCATCGATCAGCTGATAAAAACTGCAAATGAGCCAGAGTTATCTTATAAGGCTATTTCTTTTAAATCTGATGTTGAAATATGTTAGAAAAACACCCTAAAATAGAAGAGAATAACAAAATATATACAGGATTATAAATATTCACAAACTAGAACACACCCCACACCAATAAAATAATGGCACAGTGTGACACATTGTAAGTTAGTTACAATATATAGTCTATGTAATACATTTTATACAATAGGACACATTGGTAGATCAACCTACGCAGCATAGAAAGTAGTTTAAAGTAGTTAAAATTTACTCCACCTCCTCCAGCTGCAGAGCAAATGTATCAATATTAACATTATATGTATATATAAAAGTACTATAACATCTCTCTAACTGGTGCCATTCTGCATGATGAACACTTTTACATTTGATACTTGAGTACAATTTGCTGATAATATTTAAATGAAGTAAAATGTTAAATGCTGGACTTTTGAGTATTTCAACACTGTAGCAGCTATTGGAGCAGGGATAAAAAGGCTTTCTTTCAACATTAATAATCAATCCAGCAATAATCTCCCTTAATTAGGCTGGTCTATTGCACTATTACGATTAAATCCACAATTGTTTTTTCGGAAATGGTCTGTTTAAAAAAAAAAAAAGAATGTCTTTATTACAGCCTCTCATGAATCTGACCTTCCAGTAAACCTGCAGTTATATCTCCTCTGTCCTTCTCATCACCTCCTCCTGCATCATACACAGAAAATACAACACTGAACAATTTTCGTTTCCACGCTACACGCCGTTGATTATCAAAACGCAACACGAAACGATATCTGTTTTCATACAATAACTAATTAATCATTTCCCCCCTCTGTCTCTGTTTTATTTTTTTTAACCTCCAGTGGAAAAATATGAATTACAGCACTGCGCGGTGGACATGCGCGGAGCTGCAGCGAATATGGCGGCTTGCATCTGATAGAAAGTGAGGAATCTCCCATCAAAATACCTTGTTCAAACGGTTGGTACGGCTCATGTCTCATTATTACTCTCATGTGCTGCCAATGACGGGTTTCTCTCTCGTTTGTTTTCGGGGCTGCGATCAAAAAGCGAGCTGCTTCCCTGCCGTTTGGCCCCTGCAGTGATAGATAGCAGAGCGTGTTTATACTGTATTCTGTGCAGGCGGAGAGCAGCTTTGGTGCGTACAGTAGCGACATTGAACTCTGCAGATTTCCCGTTGCTTTATGTTTACTGGCTACCCGCTGAGGATAAAACTGCAACTAAAATAACGTTTGGTAATAATCCCGCAGCCTTGTAGTATCACGCCCGTTGAAGATAACGTTAGCAGCGTTTAGTCTGCATATGGACCACTGTCCCGCCCACAAAATGTGACCATAAACCAAATGAAAATGCGTCACAGACTTTTCTTCAAATTATATTTTATCTTCTGTTGATTTCGTCTTTCCCATCCAAACCTAAATCCAGAAAATGAAAGAAAGTAATGATCTTTTTTCTTCGTCCAATCAACCACACATGCAACCTAATGCCACACAGGTAGGATATGATGATGCAACTTAAAATACCTAAATGTTGGTATTTAAAAAGCTGTTTGGATAAGAAATATTCTGTAATCAAAAGTTGCTGGATATGAAACCATATCCCAAGTTACCATTCTGGAGGTGACGCCCTGCAGCGGCTCACACCCCTCAGCCTCTCAGCAGTAATGTGATCCTTTTACTCTCCTGTCTCCAAACTGTCCTGCCTGACACACACACACACACACACACCAGGCGAGGCTGTGAGGATGGTTTTCAACCTGGATTTGTACGTTGATCTCAAAATTGTCCGATTTTATAAAATGGTTATTTCCCCTCTAATCCCACAGAAGGACTTGCTGCTGGTCAAACCCACATAAACTCCCCTTGTCTGTTTTTTTAAAGTCTTTATGGAACTATTAATTTAATCAGCAACTATTTTGACAGTTTTTTATCATTGAAGTTATTTTTCAAGCTTAAAATTTGTAAATTTGATTAGTGATTAATCTTAATTTTTCAAGCAAGGAAATATCATGTCAAATATGTCAAATATTTCCTGGCTCCAGGTTCTCAGTTGAGAGGATTTACTCAGGGCTGCAACCAAGACTAGTTTCATTATTGAAGAATCTTATTTTCTGAATTATTATTATTAACTGATACATATTTTGGTCTATAAAAGTTCTTCACAAAGTCCAACAGGCAAACATGTTTACAGTTTACAGTCACATTCAACAAAGAAAAGCAGCAAATCAGCAAGAATGTGGCATTTTGTTGATTATTGATTAAAAGATCAAAATAGTTTTCTGTCAGTTAATGAACTGATTATTTCAGCCTTAGATTTGATGCTTTTCTTTGTTGAATGTGAAACTGAATATCTTTGGGTTTTTAACTTGTTGGTCGTACAAAATGAGCAATTTGAAAACATCTGAACAACTTTATTTTGGATCGTGTTGATACTTTGATAATTATTTTAACTCCTTTCCTTAAATGTAGGTCAAAATATTCTTGTGACATCAGAGAAATAAATGAAATTTTCTCCTTAAAAAAAACAGAGAACGTTCTTTGAGTTAAACAAACACATCCACTACAATTGTGTAGCCACATGTCCCGTGGGCGTTAGTTCAGCATAATGTAAATGAGCATCTTCATTTTACGAAAGAAGATTTTTTGTTGTTGTAAACATGTAAAAGAAACATTCAAATGTTATCACTGCTGTAACAATCAGTTGATTTATCATTTAAGTTACAAAAATGGCAAATGTGCTGTTTCCAGATTCTAAAATGTCAGCATGTGTTGCTTTCCTCAGTTTTATTTCATTGTACAGTTAATATTTCTGCACTGATGGTCACCAGATAAGCAATTTCAATCCATCACCTTTGATGCTTTGGGAACTTTTCCACAAATTTATAGACTTTATTAATTAATCGTAAAAGTAATCTACTGGTTATTGATTTGATAATTAAATAAATCATTAGTTACAGCCCCACTAATAATAGATAATACTATATTACTCTCAGAAATTACCTACTGTGACATTACATCTTTCGTGGAACTTAAGGTGACCTTTATACCTAGTTAAGTAACATAATGAAATGAAAATATTTGTGCAAGCATCAAATATATATATATATATAAAAGTAGTCTAAATATATTAATTACAACAATATTGTTTTCAAATTTTGCATAGGCTACTTATAAAAAAGGTTTTAACAAATCTTTTAATTCACGTGAGAAAAAAATACTACCACTGCCACTCTGACAGATCTGTGGATGAAAAGTTACAACCTCTCCTGAAACAAGGTCTCGGGTCATTTTTCAGATCTTCTCACTGTTCAGGTCTGTGAACATTACACTAATCCCAGATAAGTGGCTGCCTCAGTGTAAATGGAGGCCGTAAAAATTAAGTGCTTCCTGGTCTGCTGGACAGTTTTTGTCTGACCCTCTTGAGCGAGGCAGACAGACCAGTGCAAACACTGAACCAATCTGGAGCTGGGCGAGGAGCAGAGCTGGAATCCTTTTCATGTCAGCCAGCAGACGTCCCACATCCACACGTCTTAATGGCTTTTTATGGCAGCTTGGAATCTTTATGGCTCCTTCTGACTCAATGGGATTCGCTGCTGAGACAGAGGGGTCTTCAGAGGGAGGGACAGTCACAATACATTGCAGATGCTAATAGTTTCAAACGCAAGGAAAGGAGGCATTGTCTGGGTTCTGGAGAGATTTTAACCTATGGATTTCTGGATTTAATTTGGAATGTATCACTTTTTTGATGCTCTGGTACCTTGGATTATTTTTATGCTTCATTTTGAGCTCTCACTATGTGGAGACCTTGCAGTGAGTGGGACTTTATTCGAGAGTTTTTGTGAACCTGGATGTATGTGGCAGAGTTTCAGCATAAACAGTGTGGTAACAATTTTATTTTATTCATATTTCTTACAATTTTTACAGGACTAAACTTTAGTAGTGAAGCAAAGCTGGTAACTGAAACCTTTTGGTCAGAGGAGTTCATATGGACTTGTGAAATAACAGCACATACCATTTGTCAGACACTTTTTGTTTTAAATTCCCTTACATCAGCAGAAGTGCACATGTCTGTAGTATTTATGCGGTCTCATAACTATGTATCACGCACAGTTAATAGGATGAGATGTTTTAATTGGATTTTAATGAATCTTATATGATTGCTGTATTTTTCTGTAAATTATAGGATATCATCTGTTTATACCCAGATTGTGAGTAACAGATTAGATATCAAAGGATAATAGTAATACAATCAGAAAAATATCAATCATATGTGACAATGACAGAATGAAACCTGAAGCAAACAAACTGCAGCAAACAGAGTATTTAGATTGAAGATTGGCTTTGCCTGTGACATAATCTTGTTTTTCTTACTGTCAACAAATCCTGTGAAAAAAGAAATAAAACCACAGCATGTTAGTCAGTCTCTTAATACTTTCGGACTTTCCTACCCTATCTGCAGTGCCATTCCGGAAAACCCATTCATTCCTACTGCAGACAGAAATCTTTAATAATGTGTTACAAATATACAGTCTTATTCTTTAAAAATGCTCAGTAATTTTCTAAAACAGATGGATGCTGCAGGTTTTTAGCAAACATTACTCAGAGTCAATAGTGTATTTGTTGTTTGTATGTGTATTTGGACTATTTTCAGCTAATTGAATAGGATTTAATAGGATTGAAAGAGTAAAATAAAAAAATAAAAATAGTCCTAAAATTAATAAAATGCAGTGGCAAAAAATCTTAAACCCTGATTTAAAAGAACTGTTGAATTAAAGTCTTCTGGGTTTGTTCCAGATATGTGGTGCATAAAAACTAAATGCTGGTCCAGACGAGTGCTTTATAAACCAACAGTAGTAATTTAAAATCAATTATTTGACACACAGCAAGCCAGTGTAAAGATCTGAGAGCTGGAGTGATGTAATTCACTTTCTTGGTCTTAGTGGACAACAGTGAAATTAATTTTGCATGTAAATTTATAATCTATTAACTCTAATGGGGCTGTGTATCAAAGAGCCATTTTAAAATAATCCCAAACTGTAGGTCTCTGTATTCTGGTATTTTTTGACTATTGTGGATGAAGTTTTCAGAGTGTATCTGTCTCCTCTCCAGCGTCTGTGTAGGTAAAAGCCTGTCTGACTTCACCTCCTCTGCAGCAGCACGGTTAACTTTGGTCATCATGGGCCGAACACCACACAGGGGTAGGCCTTCACAATATTGTTCTTCTGGTTGTCCTCCTGTCACTGTTGGCCTTAGACTAATTCTCAAATGTCACAATTTGATCACCAAACAACACACACACAAATCAAAATGCTCACTGATGTTTCCAACCACACAGGGACGTGCACACACATTTGGAGGGGCTATTGCTCTAACCTGAAAAAAGGGCAACCCCTAAGGAATGGTATAACAAATGGGATGCCCTGTAAATAAAAATGCTTCAGAACAATGCGTGGCTTGCATCACGCTTGCATCACGTTGCAATATTGCTTTATTATGCTACAGGTTACAGGATCTTGCATGTAGCTTGCTGCCTATGTAAGCCAGCTAGCTAGATGGCTAAAATTAGTTTATGTGATAACATAATATAAAAAATATCACACAATGTGATGCAAACATGTCAACATGTTTTATTTAATTTGGTCTATCTCTAGCAAATGAGCTACTTGTATTTGTGCAGGCACAACAGCAGAAGGGCAGCTCAGTCAAAGAGGGCAAATAGGTTGTTGCTCAGGCAACATTAGCCCCGCCTTGTGCACGTCCTTGCTACTGCATCATTATAATTTTTGGTGTTTGGTATGCTTGCGATCATTTTATTTTTCCCTTGAACTATTACAATTGCAGGTTTCATGCCTTCATTCGCACAGTAATTACAACCTGCGTATCAGTAGCTCCCAAATCCTGATGAGCAGTTCAATCATCTTTTGATTTCAGATCAAAAAGAGGAGAAGGAGAGACGAAGCAGCATCACAGCAGGCTCTGCCCTCGACAAATCTAATGGTTGGCAACTCTGTTCTCTGGCTTGCGCCTCTTTATTGTTGATCCTTTCATTAGCGGTCTAATTTAAATCTTTTTGACTTAATAGCTTTTTTGATTCAGCAGTTGATGTGTCAATTCTTGCAGTAACCTATTTTGTCTTTTATTCATTAACTTCTGGCGTGGGTTAGCTAAATAAGTTACTCATAAGTTACATGTTAAACTGTAAATTCAGAAGGTTTTAGCAAGTTATTGATGTGCACCAAATTTAACCAAAATGTATTGCTGTATTTCTTTTAAACAGATTTAGCAACTGTAGCATAAAAAAGCCTAAAATGGGCATGTTTCCTTATCGCTGTAATCAATTGTAAAGTCTGTTATATTTATGATTTACATAAATATGTCTAAGTCTGCTAAAATGCTGAGATTTTGGTTACAGAGACATATATTCCCCACAGGAGTTGGTAGAGACAAAAAGAGCTAATAAAGAGTGAATATTGGACTTATGTTCTGTAACTACTGAATGTATAAATAGACAAGTTCATCCGCTTAAAATATCATGATATATCAATTCTGTGTCCATAGCTTTGTATCTGCTGCCCCCAAGGGGCCAAAAAAACAGTTATTGCAGATTTAAGACAAAAAATAGTACCTCAGAAGTTTTAGTCCTCCTGAAATTATTTTGTGAACATTTGTTTGGGTCACTTCATTATAATATATTTTAGTACTTGCACTTTGTGGCTGTCACTGCATTTTCTCTTGCACTTTCCTAAAACAACTGCCAGTAATCAATTGTTTGTTTCTGTTGTTTTTGTTACTAGAACCGTTCAGTTGGGAAGACTACCTGAGAGAAACGTCCTCTGTCGCAGCGTCACCGACTTGTTTCAAACAGGTAGCTGATTATTAAGATGCATTAGCTTAAAGACTGGTAGTATTTCACACTACATGTCACAATACATGACAGTGACTGTGTGTCCCTCTGCAGTCCAGAGTGCCCCCCTCCAATGACTTTAAAGTTGGTATGAAACTTGAGGCACGGGACCCTCGCAACTCTAACTCTGTGTGCATTGCAACGGTGATGGGCATGATGGGTACTCGTCTACGCCTCCGTCTGGATGGTAGTGACAACACCAACGACTTCTGGAGACTGATCGACTCGTTAGAAATTCAACCAATAGGAACCTGCGAAAGGACCGGAGACATGCTACAGCCACCGCTGGGTGAGTGTCTTTACACTGGTACAGCCAGCAGTGAGTCTGTTTTTACATGACATTTCAAGTGAAATATTTAAATATCTTAAAATTAAACAATGTCTCAAACAAATAATTTACTCAAAATGTGATAGATATGTAGTGGATCTAATACATATCCGTGGACCACACTTTTCAGGACTTTATTGGAATGCAACAGCGAAACCTCCCTGACAAAACAGGGTCTCTGTTGTATAAAAGCCAGAAGTCCAGAACCAAAAGAGAAAGTAAAGCTAAAGGAGCTGCAATAAAACAAGCACTAAACTTCCAATTAAGACACAGAACATTCCCTTAAAAGATATTTACTACTAATAAAAGTACACTAACACTTCAGGTAACCATGAAAATTAGGAAATATAACACTCAAAGAGCCAACATGTGCCTTTTAATAAAATACTTCAAGGGTAAATACACACTACTACAGATACATACACACACTTTATTAAAAATACAACATTACATTAACATTATTTGAACCTTAGAGCTATTACACACTCATACTCACACAGGTGATTTCACTTATTTGACCAATTAGACCTTGTTTCAGGACAGTGTGGATGTGCACAGACTGTGCTTGACTGACAGGCAAGCACAGGTGTAAATAATAACATTAGTGGTGGCTGAATTCCATTTAGCTGCTTCAGTTTCAGTTTGGTATTGTGCATGCTGGCTGACTCTCATGGCTTACTGGGACACTTGAATAGAACAGAGTCATTGTTAATGTTTGAGGTCTGCTAACACCTGTGCTTTTCCTGCCATGACAAGACAAAATGTCTGCTGTCTACAGCAGACGTTTGTTTTGTTACTCCTGTTAGAATGGGACAACTTACACCTTCATTGTTTTAATTAATACATGGTTAGATGTCATTACCAGCATAGTGAGACCTGTTGAGCTGGTTGCACAGCAGACATTTAGTTTTTTCACAGCAGGAAAAACACGGGTCACAATAGCAATGACTCCGTTCCACTAAGTGTCCCAGTAACAGTGACTAGTGAACCGGCACGCACAATAGCAGGACCTCCCCTAAGTGGAATGCAGCAATCATTAATATACCTGTGAGTTTCCTGTTATGACATGCCACAATTACTGCTGTGCAACCAGTCTATTTCCACCTGAGCAGATCCTTTGAATTGCTGCTCGCATCCCTGATCTGGCCAACAATTCAAATATGTACAGCTCATTTAATTGCAACATTGCTTACAATGGTCTGTTGTTGTTGTTGTTACAATGGTCAGTAGACACATTTATATCTTCACGCAGTATCATGTTGAATTGTTTCCATTTTAATAAATCTGACCCTTGTGATGTATTTTGACCTGGTGTTTAGGTTTCAGGATGAATGCCTCCTCGTGGCCTATGTTCCTCCTGCGGACGCTGAGTGGAGCAGAGATGGCTCCAGCCTCTGCTTTTAAAAAGGTAATGACTACTGGGAGAAGCCACTGAAGGCCAGTACTGATAATACTTTATTTTATACTGAAGCTGATAAAACTTGGAAGTTATCAAAATTACATGATGTCACAAAGTAAGAGTTTTCTCCTCGTTTCATGAAAAAAATGAGAATAGCATTAAGAGATGACATTTAATGGGGAATAATGTTCCTGTTAAAGTCATACAGGGTGTCCTAATCCCTTAACAGTCAATGTTAAAGGTCCAGTGTGTAACACTTAGGAGGATCTATTGGCAGAAATGGAATATAATATTCATAAGTATCTTTTCATTAATGTATAATCACCTGAAAATAAGAATCACTCTGTTTTGGTTACCTTATAATGAGCTGTAGATGCCACTAAAAACTACACAAAATGCACATTAAACAACACTTAAATCACCTAATAGAGGCTGATCATTGGCTCTACTGCTGGGTCATAATACCATAGTACACAGTTGCAGTAATCAGCAGAGACAGAAGGGGGAGCTACTCATATGTCATGTACACTATGGATCAGACACAGCAGCATGCCAGCAAATCCATACAGACAAAAAGTGGAGTAAGCAATGTTTTGTTTCAATAAAAATTTAATTAAAATTCTGTTTAGTTATTAGTAAATGTGTTTAAATAGTTGCAAGATATCTTCAAATCAAATTGCTGAGCTAATACTGATAAAGAGAACATTTGGTTGAAACTGTGAAATGTGTTTTTGGGCACATACCTGACCTGATATACCTGGTTATGTGTGCATGGCTATTTATTTTAGTTTAAAACAGATATGCTGTGAATGCACAATATTAATTTGCGTGCTTATGTGCACGTATGTGTATGTGTGTGTTTAGGAACCAGCCAACCCTGCTAAAAACTACTTCCAGCCAGGTATGAAACTGGAGGCAGTGGACAGGAAGAACCCCTATCTGATTTGTCCTGCCACAGTGGGAGAGGTTAGAGGTCAGGAGATTTTTGTCATGTTTGACGGCTGGCGAGGTGCCTTTGACTATTGGTGCGCCTTCGACTCCAGAGACATCTTCCCTGTTGGCTGGTGTGCTCTGACAAAACACAGCTTACAGCCACCTGGAAACTTCTGTAAGTGCTGCTTTGATTGTTTTTTTGTCGTTGAATGTGCAATCTGAAAATTGTGAATTACAGATGTTTTTAGCAATGTCGTGTCTGAAGAACAATAGATGATATAAGCTACAATGATACCACATGTCTCCACGTTGAAGTTGACCATATGATTATATTTTTGATGATTATGAAGCATAAATTTGTGTTCAAATAAGGAAAATATACCCATATTACTAGCACTTGTGTGTTATGCAAAAACATAATTAATGGTCTAATTAGCTAAAATATTTTTATTATACAATGAGGATTAGAAAAGGATATTACTGCTCAAGTACTTATTGACTGAGATAATAATTCGAGTTTCCGAATATCCCACAGATAGCTTTAACAGTCAGAACATGCTCATCTATGACATTCAGGCCAATAGAAAGCTAATTGATTGCACTGACTTATTTGAGTTTTTGTGTTTTAATGGTGGACAGGTGTTCCCATCTTTAAATAACATTTTCCAATTTTTACCACTAGAGAGCAGCCGAGCACAAATTCTGATGTATTTGCTTCATTATTACAGGCTTTGAACTGAGTTGTGGCAACTCTCTTACAGACATTTCAGCATAGTTGTAGAGTGGACTTGAGTGAAACACTGTCTAAGAAGCAAATAATCATCTTGAATTTTCTGTGTTTAGTCATCACTGGGTTTCATATTTCTGTCACTGTAGACTCAAGCCATTATGAAGACAGAGAGGCCTTGTTCAGGGCTTCTTGAATCTGTCTGGATTCCTCTGAGATTTATTACAGTTTATACTTCACATAACAATGTGTCACAAACAGTTGATCAGAGTTTGCTTCTGCTAGCATTTGACTTAATCTGTGGCAAACTGTACTCAGCTATTTTACTGAAATGAAAGTAGCAGTAACCACAGTGTAAACATACTCTGTTACAGGTAAAAAATATACTTAAAGTACCCGAAGTTGCAGGCCTATTTCACAATGATATATATTAAATTGTTTGATTACGATTATTGATACATTGTTTATTTGTTTATTTATAGAGGACATTGCACGTGAATCAGTATTGACATTAACGTGCCTGTGGTAGCTCAATAGCACCTATAGTCTCAACACTTTAATTTTTTTAATTTTAACTTTATCTACTGCTGGGTAGATAATATATAAGAATACATCAGAATTTATTTGTAAAATAAATGTAGTGGAATTAAAAGTAAACTTAAACTAAAATGTAATGACACATACTCAAGTAAAGTACCTCAAAATTAAACTAAATAGTGACTGTGCAGTTGATATCTCAACAATATGATGAGCAGGACAGGGAGCTAATTATTGATAATAAATACAGTAGGTAGGAAATATATACATATGGTAACATATCTGTGAAACAAATGTTATCAAAAATTGTTAAGGCTTTGTGCTTAATAAATGCAATCAATAATGCAAAACATTATTTGGTTAATTTCATTTATATATTTTGGGGTACATCAATTGCTTAGTAATTATTATAGGGGCCCAGTTGTAGTTCCTTTATAGTTATAATAAGATAAATACGTAAAGATAGTACCATGGTGTGATATCTTGTAGGTAATTATGCAGTAATGATTTCATTAAGTATCAAACAGTGACATAGGAGAAGTTACAGAACTTAGTGAAGTCTGTACGCAGCAACATCAGCTTTTCATTAACTGGAGTGTGTTTGTACTGTCCAGGAAGGCACTGGTTTCTACTGAAAGTTACTACTACTAAAGTTTGTTTAAAATGTAGAAGAGATTTGGAATAACCAAGTCAGTTTTTTCCTCCTTTGTGGGTCTTTTCCCCTCTGTTTTGTGTTGAGTTTTGTCTTTGTTGGTGGGGTTGCGACCTGCAGCTCTGACCTCCACATTGAGTCTGCAGAGTTCCCTGAAGATTTAGCTTGAATAGATTCCAGTTTCTGGTCTTTTTTCATATATTAATCCAATACTTTACATAACCACAGGCTGTTTTTTTTTATGTGTGATTGTTTGTGCTGTTTCTGGCTCCATTTTGCCCTTTTGAAACGTGGAAAAACAGCTTAGCAGTTGGAAGCAAAAAAATAATCACTGATTTGTTCATGTATGCCCAGAATCAACAAATTTCAGGTTATAATCCTCTGATTAATTTTGTGTTTGCACATGTCATCTAATTTAAACTGCCTCAGTCTTCTTTAGTATGTCTCATGTGTCATGTTTTGTATCCAAACATTTAGTTAGTCAAATTAATGGGTGCACATTAGATAAAATTATATTTTAATAATATTTGAGTATATCTTAATGTAGATGGGAAAGCAGTCTGTCTACATAAGGACAGGCACAGGGGAAATAAATTTTTTTTATGTCAGATTATTTTATTTCTGTTTATTTTAAGTTCCCAGTGTTATACATCATAGATGATCATAAATAATCTGCACCTTTGCTTTTTTTTTTTGACAAGCAGCTAATAGAAACGTAGTGACTGCAATTGTTTATTTATTGAGGACAGTGTAAAACTGTTTGACACCTCAGATGCTTGACAAATGAGAAATGTATTGTTAATCATTTATCCACATATTTGAGAATAAATCATATTGTACATTTATGTCTTTAAAACATCTCTGATTCCACAAAGGCTTATGGTAAAATTGTCTGCTTTGAGACTGTTAACCTCACATTATTCCATATTTTCTTTAAAGAGGAGCCTAGTCTGTATTTCAAAGAAACATAAAAAAATTATTTTAGAAAACTTTTTGGCCAAGTTTGGAAACTTGTTTAGTTTTTATTTTCCCTTCATCTTTATTTAAACCAGTTAAGACCCACTAAGGATGGAAACCTTTTTTGCAAGGGAGATCTGATCAAAATTGCAGCATAAAAATTGCTCAGACAAAGCAATACAAAAACTGACAATGAAAAAAAAACAATAGTATAAACCAATAACAATACTGAAGACACTGTAGACAGGTGGGAGAATATGAAGTTTCTGAGTAAAATGTCCAACAGTGGTGGTAAAAACACTGCATGCTACATATGGCACAGACAGACAACATGCTATGCTGCCATCATCCTCAATGACAAGGTCAAGCAGTGACTTTCCTGTGTACCTATTTGCATGTAGCACTTTGATTAACATTTGTTTATGCATTTGTTTGGTCTGTCACAGAAACATAAATCGTATAACTCATTTGCAGGAGTTTGTTCTGCTTTTACCATTTTACAGTTCACTGTGGCATTTCGCAAGAAATTCAGATATCAGCTCTTTAAATGCTTTGAAAATGTTTCACAGTGCTCCTCTAACCTTTTTAAGATTTATCAAATGTGCAAATTTGGAGGCCCCTTAAGATAACAAAAATATTATACCGCTTCCCTCTGTGTGTTTATATACTCTATTTTTTTCAATGGACCCCATTGGGGACCCCTCTGAACTTTGACAAAACATTCCCTGTATGTATCACAGCAAATTAGAGCTTTGGTTGATATTATTTAAGTGTGAAGGCAGTACTGAACTATTAATTATCAATCAGGATGTAATTATATGGTAATTACACTCAGCGGTTACAGGAGCACGTGATTTGCACTAATGCTGAAGCTTCATGTTCAAGGTTTAGCTGTTTAGTTTCTTTGGCGGATATTTAGACATTTGTCATCCATAAAAATCACTTTGACAAATGGCTCTGGAGTCTGTTAATTCTGAGACTGGGGTTTTAGCAGGTGTAATAGATATCAGTCTTAATGTTTGCTTTTATGTCACATTAGCTCCCATCCAGCAATTTCCTCCCCTTTACCCTGTTGTTGACGCCCACTGGTCAGGAAAAATGTGGCTTTGAATAACCCGTACCACCAAACTCTGATTAATGAGAAGTGTGTTTGTGTGTATGCGTGTGTGTTTGTTTGGGTTTCCTCCACTTTTGTTGATGGATGACAGCAGTTACATGTCTGTCAGAGCATGTTCTCCGTCCTCGAGCAGTGAGGCAGTCACATTTGCAGCCTCCATCCAGTGTTTCAATACACAAGAAAGACCTTAATGTCTGCTTCAGATTCCAAGACTGCCTGGTCAACAAGATACTAATCATTGTGAGCAAAGGCATCTTTATTCCTGCTTCGAGCTCACCAGTTTCCAGTTTCACAAAGATATCTTAGATTTGTCTGTAGTGGTGGTATATAACAAAGTAGATTTACTCTATAGTAGTAGTTTTTAATACCAATTTCCATTTTACATCAGAGATTATATTTTACTTTTTCCTGCACCACATTTCTCTGACAGCTTTAGTTACTAGTTACTTTATAAGATAGCTTATACAATATGTTTTGTTATAAATGAAACTAACCAAGAAGTAGAGCTGAAACAATAAGTTGATTCATCAATTAGCAAACAGAAAATAAATTTGATTTATTTGAATGTAGAGTATTCATTCGCTTGCTTATATGCATGTATATGTATGAAACTGGAGGCAGTGTAAATTGTCAACTATTTTTATAATAATTTGAGTAATTAAAAAAAAAACATTTCATGGTTCCAGCTTCACAAATGTGTAGATTTGCTGCCGTTCTTTATGATTATTTCCATGTATATTTAATAATTGTGAGGTTGCACAAAACAAACATTGTAAAGGTGTCACTTT